CTGTAAAACACAGCATTTCCGACCATAACAAGGCCAAAAAATACGAGGTGTGGTTTCCGCACCGGGGGGCGACGGCCTACTACTAGTATCGGCTGGAACCTGTGCGTGCAGTTCGCCAACGCAGTCACGCGTCGAGGCGAAAAGAGAAAGCCTCGACCGTGTTCGCCTGTTATCAGTACAGAGTGCCAGTGTGTGTTTTGGAAGTTTTGTCCGTGAGTTGCGTGTTTGGAGAGGAGTGAACCCGAACCAGTGAGCTTAACCCCAACAACCTCGCATCAGAAGCCGGATGCCCGGCCCCGCAACCCCAAAGCAGAAGCCCAGAGACCCAAACAAGATTGAAAACCCTACGGGGTGAACCTTGGTAGACTCTTTGGATGCAACGGCAGAAAGGCAGAGATAACCCTACTCGAAAACCTTACACCGGAAGACGAGTTCCCGAAGGAGACGAACACCCAAAGGAGTGAACCCTACAAGAGACGCCGAAGGAATGAACTCAACCCCAAACTCTGCCACGGAAGCCGACAAGCCACAGGAAGCCGAAAACCCGACGGCACGAAAACATACGAAAACCCTGAGGAGTAAACCCAACAGGAAGGTCAGAAGCGAGGCCCAAACTAGGGGCAGAAGATGGCACAAGTGAGTGATGTGGCCGTTCCCTCCATCGGTTTGTGTCGGGCCCAGCTAAAAAGATCGCGTTCACGGGCCGTCGTCGCCAGTGCCAGATTGTTTCTGCCTCGTGCATTTCTCGTTTTGGGCGCCGCGCCCGTAAAGGGATTTTTCTGCCGCTGATGTCCCAACCCTTATAGCTAGAGGTCATTTCAGCATGGAGTCATCCCAAACACTTACAACGAGATTTCAGTTTAATTAGGACAAAGGTTTGTGGCTGAAGCTGGCTTCAGGGCTTGCAGAAGCAACTGTCTATTGCTTGTGTTGGGTTGCGCACGTGCACTGGGTAGAGGACGAGCCCCCCTGAGCTGGCAACGTGCAGTCCTTCAGCTCGTCCGCAAGCGGGGCCAGAACAGAATAACAGCTACATGTTATCAAATGCTTTCGAACTTCTTGCACTGTGTCGTACCGTTTTGCAGAGCCTGGGCCGTATGTATAAGGAGGTCAGGCTTATAGAACATGTGAACTGGGATAGCCACCGCTGCAAAGTGTTCTGAGGCCTTGGCTGCGATGGCCGCTTGCTTTCAGGCCGTCGCCTGCAGCAAGCACTGCGCGTGGACTACCTCATCGTGGCCTGGAGAAAGTATACGGAGTGATGTTGTGGTAGATGGTTTCAGTAGCAACATGATCCTTTGGAAATAGCATTTGACGGGCTGTTGTCCATAATAGGCAGCCGTTTATGCAGAGTTCACGAATGCAAGCCACTCAAAAGCGATCGCGAGTGTGTGTGTGTGTGTGTGTGCGTGTGCGTGTGTGTGTGTGTGTGTGTGTGTGTGTGTTTACATGTGTTAATGTTTGTACCTAGTCTGGAACATACGTGCACACAGAATTCGCATCACCAATAATTGCGGCACTGGCATGGTCCTCGAGGCCGAAATTTCCCAAGCCCCTGCTGTGATCAGCCAAGGTCTTTCCAACGTCCCTTGGTCTAGAAGCAGCCATCGTGCTTGCGGAGACAAGCCAAAAGGGATTGGAGACGGTCTCGGTAGAGGCAACCTCCGCATGGCTAAAGGAAGAAGTCGCTCAGGTGGAGGCTTTGCAAAACTTGGAGGTTGCCGTGGCAACCAAAAGTGTCGCTCTAAGCTTGTCATTCGAAGCACAGCAGTTAATGCCAGAAAGCAATGCCGATGGCATGGCGATTCGGGTCGTCGTCGGGTCCGTCGCGATTCTCTTTCCGGCCTGCCTCCTCGTGCTCTCTTGGAGGTGTGGGAAGCGGCTGGTGCGAAGTGCAGCTATTTCGCAATCTGCCGACGTCAAACTGGCCGTGGAGGTTTACCCGGAAGTCGACATCCAGGATATCCGACGCTCAAGCCTTATGGACGACGAAGACTTCCGGTTATCCGGAGATGTGGAAGAGACTCCTAATCAGGATCTTGAGTGTCCGGCATTGGCAATAAAACCAAAGCGCTTGGTGCCAAAAGGCCGCGTCGCAAAGAAAGCCTTGGCTGTAGCAGTCCTCACGGAGAGGGCCAATGAAAAGAGGCAGAAAGCTAAGCGCCTGGTCCCCAAGCAAAGAAAAGCCAAGAAGCAGCCAGAAGCCATTGCCGATGCCGCTGAGCCGAGCGAGATCCAGATTAGCTTCGAGCCAGCATCCCAGAGCGGAATTGGCAGGTTCGATGACGACAACCTGCTGGAGCCACCCTCTTCCTGGCTGACCGACGACGAGGAGGAGGAGATGGCCATCTCCAGTGCGCTGGACTTGCAGCCGTCGCGCTCGGAGTCGGAGAGAGAGGTAAGTACGAGAGTTAATGCCGAGTCAGCTCCACCAAAGCCCAAGAAGTTGAGAAAGCGATCTGTGGCCAAAAAAGCAAAGAAAGCTGCAGCCGCAAAGGAGGCGCTCTTTGAGGGATCGGAGGACGAGGTGGTGTCGGCACCATCTTTGCCGTGGGACGATGATTCCGCCGTTAATGCCCGCGCTCAAGTCGTGGCCAACAAAGAAGACCCCCATGAAACATGGTAAGGTCGTCCGGGCGTTGCTTGAGACTTTCGGTGGAAGAGTTTCTCTAGACTTTGGGTACAAAAGATGTCATGATGTAGAGGGAGATGCAGTCCGACTTGCAGAGAAACTTTGAAATTCGAGCCGCTCGGCTGCTTGATGGCGAGCTAGACATGTAGGAACGCAGGATGGCCCTCATCGAGCAGTTGAGCTGCCCAGCCCGTACTCATGTACGCATTAAGATTTATGCGACACCGCTTGCGCGATTTGCTGGCAAACATTGGGCGCTTGCATGATTTTGGCTGTGAAGACTCTTGGAATGCCGTCACAGTTTTTGTTTTCGAGCAACAGCTCAACTCGGATTTCGCTGGCGCAAGTCTTGGCTTCCTTGACTTTCAGGTCCGACATAAGGAGGGAAACTGTATGTAGTTTCTCTAGTTCCTGCATCGATTTCACAGTCTGCAAAGTCTTGCTGTTCTTTCTGGTGAGGATCGCATAGGCGCACCGAGCCTTGCATCAGAGACATGGCGCCCGACGCATGGATGTCACGCGCACCTGCCTCATATGTATGTCATTTGTAAGTACCTCGTATGTGCGTGATGGCTCTTCGTCTTCGTTTCGTGAATCCCACGCCGGGCAGCTGCCGGCTGAGGCAGCACTACACTCAGAGCAGTCGCCTTCATCCTCGGGGAGGATCCGGGCCCAGGCGAAGCTAGCAAGTGCGATCATCGGCTGTGCTAAAGTCGTGCGAGAAAGAGCTGATGTGCGCGCTCGCTTGCAGGTTCTGAGCCGGAGAGTGGTCTTAGGCTGCGCGACAGTGCTGCCCAGGCCCAGCTCAGCGGTCACTATACTGCCTCCCATCTCTCGCCCTGGAGCTCCTTTTTAGGTACGTGCGGCTGCAGCTGCCGGTCGTGAGGCGGACGTGGCGGCGGCCGTCTTCCGGCTAGCCCAGCAGAGCCTGGTGCCTCCCTTCAGTGCAGATTCAGCAGAGGCGAGACGTTGTTAGCTTCACCCGCACCTTCGATCTGGGTTTCTGCAAGTTCGCTGCCGCCGCATGCGCTGCTGTGGCTGGCTTGTCTGAACCGGATCTACTTGGAAAGGCCGCGGTGGTTTAGCAGCGTAGCAGTGCCTTGCCAGCCTTTGAGCGGCATGTTTCGGCTCTTCGGCAATGACAGGAGATCGGGCGCTCTCACATCTTGCGAGTGCTGGAGGACACAGTTTGCTCTGAAATCTGATGAAGCTTTGATTGGTGTTGCGCACTGAGTCTGCACCTGGACCTACCTGCCTACTCGGCCCTTGTCAGTCTTGGCACGTCAGGGCACGCAGTCCTCTGTATCCCCTGAGTGGAACTCGCACTGTCTTGCGCCATTCGGGCTGGTTTTGGTGTAGGCTTGCAGTCGAGCGGAGGAAAAAAAGCCAGTTCTTGAGGACAAAACCGAAGAACGAACGGGAAGGGATGCAGGAAAACGGAGGGCGGGCGACATCCGACATGGTTCAACCTAGGGGTGGGATGAAAGTTGCTCCAATCAGGTGCTCGGTCTCGCAGTTGGTGGAACCCAATCATTGGACAAGCTAACCTGGTGGGGCAAGGCGGCAGGAGGCAGAAAATCGTCGAGTGTTTCAAGTCTTACAGGTCACGGAGCTGTACCATTTCTTGCAGGAACTGGCCAGACATGTTGAGACGTTCCAGCCGTTCGTCTTCAGCTTCTTGTCGCGGACGGGGTACGGCCGGATCGCAGGCCGATCCATCTGCAGGAGTGCTTGCGAAGGGCGAAGCCATGGCTCTAGGCTCACGACTGGGCTCAAGTTGAGTGTGGCTCTAGGTCTCGACGAGGTCGACCGGCGGATGCAGGCCGGGATCGGTCTGGCAGACTGGCCATAGCAGGATGCGCCGGAACTCTCAGGCCGCTCTCTCTTCCAGCTCTGTTTGGCTTCTAGCAGCCTTTTGCCGAGCAGTTGGGTGTCGCTCTTCGGCGTATTAGGCTTACTAGTACTTCCAAGCCTGCGGCGGCTTGCCGTTTTGCCCTGGGATCGCCTAAGGCTGCTTCTCTTCAGAGATTCTTTGGGAATGGGCAAACGGCGATCCGCTGTTCATAGGGCTCCTGGTCCGAAACACCCTGACGCTGGAAGCGTTGCTTGCCCGAAGTTCTGTCAGTGAGAGACTTTGCCATTTGATGGGGCGGACACAGCTGAGGCTTTCTCAATTGTTGCCCGAGACACCGCTTCAGAGCCTGCTGATTCCTCCCGATTTGGGTGCTCTACAGACAGCGGTTCTTCAGGCATTTCTTGGACTGACCAGCGCACACTCTCAGAGCTGAGAGTGTGGTATGTGACGAACCTGCTTCAGCACATATGATGAATGCTGAAGAGACGGCTGAGGACCTGACATCGCATTTGCGGATGTGATTCCGACGCGTGTTGAGTATCATGGAACGCTCGAGGCCGCTACTGTGCCTGCTAGTCGTTGTAGCCGACCAGTGACGAAGTGCCTGAACAAGTGCATCATTTGTTGGTTTCAGTAGAGAAGACCTTGCGAAATAGCCCTTGAACGTCTTCACCGCGCTTGGCTGTCAGCATGTTCATGACCTCATTATTTATCCCATCATAGCTGTCGCCGTTACATGCAAAAGCATCACCAACTGTAAGGGGGAGGGGCAATGGGTGTGCAGGCCGCTCTTCCAATTGACTCGTACTTCTCTTGCGGACTCTTGCTCGACTGAACTTGTCGTTCATGTTGACCGCTTGTTAAATTAAGCTCTACTTCGTGCAGGCGGTTCCTCAAAAAACTTGCGACATCGTCATGTCCGGAGGCGGTATTGTGAAAGGTTGTGTACCAATCATTCGGGGATCTGGTGCAGGCCAGAATTCCTTGAGAGTTGAGACATGTCTTGGATACCAGAGCCAATCCGCTTTCGGATGATCAATCTCACTCCCGACGACTGTGCAAGTCGGTGTCACCCGAAGCCCCACGAATACCTGCTGCATGTGTCTCCATGCTTGGGACTTATTTGCTTATTTGAGCCGCATATATCAACTAACCGGAAGGTGCCAGCACCCGCTCTTCAGTTTGCGCGTCACTGGTCGCGCCTGGCAGTCGCAACCACAGAGACGGGACTCGTTCCACTGCTTCTCACTGCAACAGAAGGTGGGACGTTCTGCTGGCCAGAGCTTGAGTTCAAAGAAAGCCGGTGCCAGGTGCTGCGAACGAAACAAAAATGCTGTTGTCAGCATTTTTGGGAAGACTGCTGAATGCGACCTTGCAGGACCTATATAGCCTTTGCCGACGTCTGTGATCATGCAGACAAGATGTTTGTACCGAGGATCCAGGGGTCCACGAAGGCGCCGAAGAATTACTTCAGGCCTTCAATTCAGTAGACATCCACTCGAGACCTGCGGCACACGGTCTGTCACGCTCAGGCATGCCATGTCGCTGCAGCTCATCTCCGTGATGTCTTGAATCACGTCTGCCATGTGAACAGGCTTTCCTGCAATACTCACTAGCAATTACCTGCCGCGGTTGCATCCATGTCAAGAGAGCAAGAAGAATCGATAAGCGCACGTTCCCGCAGCCGGGGTGTCAGAGCGGCAAAGCCTACTACAAGTAGCAAAGCTGGCCGACAGGTGGGATGATGGTTGTGAATGTATCGCCGCACGCCATGAAAACATCGTCTGGACATGGGTCAGGAGTGCAGAGTTGTATGCAAAGCAACAACACGGCCAAACAAACTCCGAACGTGGCGCTTATTGTCTTCGTGGCCCTGATTTCGCGACTTTTGTCGTCGGTCTCATCCTCACCTCTGCTGCCAACTGTCAAAGGGATCGTCCATAAGTTTTCGTTGCACAATGTTGGACCCTCATATGTTCGTCGTATATGTGTTGTGTCAAGCACTCTAGGGCTGCGCGTCAGTGCCGCGATCCTCGTGACGCCTAACGGGTATGAAGTGTCGCATCAGCTACTTTTTGCTCCCGTGAACTGTTAATGGAACCGGTGTCCAGCATCACTGAAGTGCGGGCGTTGATGATATTGCCTGCTTGCGACTGTCGCTATGCAATCAATGCATATGGCTCAAGTCAACCGTGTGCTGTGAGACGTGGAGAGTCGCTCATCAATATCTCACGTGGCACCGTTGTAACAAGAACCCATCAGCTTCAAATTAGTTTCTGCCAGCTTTTGGAAGGGTTATTAACTTCTTGCAATGCCGTCGGGGCGATATGTGGTACATGGTTCCTATCTCCTCCGTGCTTTGGAGGAGTGGGAATGTCGCATTTGAAGCTCCCGTCTGCCATTTGTGGAGCTTGTTGATGTGCTGAGCCAGTGCAGGTCCCGGCACGTACTAACTAATCCAAACGCCGTCGTCCGCCTCGGCCGAGTTGGGCACAAAGGGGCGGGGTGGCGAGAGGGGCACACGAAATCCGTGGAAGACACGAAATTGCACAATCGTGCCTTGGGGCGCGTCCATGGGTTCACAGGCTGGAAGGGATCAGCACCTCCGGCGGACAAACATCTCACCGTGTGTGGCAGACGCCGACGAGGATGTGCTAAAAAGGGTTTCAGACTGGCCAGGCACGCAGTGGAGCTTGGGAGGCGATGTTGCAGTCGGGGTGCTTCTTTCAGTTTGTTTTTTGAGCTAGGACAAAGGCGCGAGTTCACATTCAGTGTCACATGTCAGCCGGGCAAAAAACTTTATGCCTGGTGCCATGCCGGAACCAAGCCAGAAAGATGCACGACGTGATCGATTGCATGCCGGTGCGCTTGGACGATGCAGGACCTCAGCGGCGAGAACCATGGTCAGATTGCACAAGACATGCTGGGAAAGGCGGGGCACTTGTCTCTCTTAGTCCATGTTCATGCGTGCAAGAGTTTCTTACCGAAACCACTACGAGGTATTTCGAAGACTGGATGCATCTTGGACGGACGAGCACACGCAGCTAATGCTTGACGCGGCTGGTCTGAAAGGTGCGGCGAGCTTCTCAGGTTGACAGTAGAACATGACTAATCAGAACCCTGGAGTGCTGGGAGGTGC